TAGAATAGAATAGAATAGAATAGAATAGAATAGAATAGAATAGAATAACAAAGTTGGAAGAGTCTTCTAATCCAACCCGCTGCTTAGCCAAGAGGCTGGACCAGCTCAGACAAGCTCAATGCTAGTTTTGCATCATCCTTACTTAGATTGTCTGGGAAAAGTTTAGCTTCCAGCTGTCTATGTTGTCCATATCTGATTTTTTTCCCTTTCTCTTCATTCAGGGTGTATGGACCTCACTCACCTGTATTCTGTCAGTGTAATTGTCCAGCAAAAGCACCCCTGAACTGGTCACTTTTTTGGTCTCCACCATTGTCTTCAGATCAGCCAAGAGACTCATGTGTTTGGACATGTCTGTGGCCAAGACCTGAAAAATAATTACTGAAATAAACAAAGATGTTGCTCCTCACTCCTTTCACACCACACATTCATACCTGCCCACCTTCCAACTTGATAAAGACACTTTTATGGGTATGATCCTGAGCAAGCTTTGGTGAGTCCATAAGCCAGAGGTTGTGGTAGATTGAGTTAACTTTGACATTCTCAATACTTCAAAGACCAGTCTACCAAGATCACATGCCAACTCAGGACGCAGCCTAGTTCTTGATCCAAGGCAAGTTCCTATCTATCATATCCATTTCATGAGAAAACTTCAAGATCCTTAAAAATAACCAGATTCAATATATTATACATTGATTCGTTTAAGTCATTCCATGGTTTCTAGAGAGAGCCCTAGAGGACATAGTTCAGAACCCACTTTCCAATATTTTTTTGGGGTGGGGGGGGACACCTGTTCCTGTTGGAGACTAGGAAAAGGTACTAACCAAACAATTTGGAGATTCTGTAAAGTAATTAAAAATTGCTATGTACAGTTGATTGTCAGGATAAAATAAAAGTAAACAAGGGGGAAAATCTTCACGGTTTCACCTGGCTTATTCTTGGTTAAATGAATTTCTGTACTTAAAAAACAAAGGGGATGTTCTACCTCTCCCTCCTCCCCATATCTCTTCAAAATGTAATTTAGAAAGAAATTACTATTTTTAAATCCTCATATATGACTTAAAACTATGGATTTAATAAAAAAATAGACAATGAAAAATACTGAAGTTTCACCAATAAACTGGAGTACATTGAACTTTGCAAGACCATAAAAAACATATCCAAGAAGAAACACGTCAGTTTAACATGAAGCTTGTGAAAAAAGGCAATTGAAGTAAACAAATGGATTAATAGAGCAAAATGCAAGTTTATAAGTACAAGAAAGAAGGTTTTTGTCTTAAAATGTGAAGATGGCTCTGTGTGTAGGACAAGACAGGAAATGTTAGAAATACTGGGAAAATTCTATTCAGGGCTATACAAAGATCAAGATCACTCAAAAATAATAACACCCACAAAAGAGGAAATGTCAGTTATCCTAGTGGAGGAAGTATCAAGTGCCATAAAATCAATGAAAAATGGCAAAACTTCAGGATATGACCATGTTATGGTTGAAATGCTGAAACCTGGTGGTCACCCAGTTTACACAAGATACTAGCAAAACTCTACCTGAGATGCCTCAGAGAAGAAAAAATGAAAAAAATGCTGAAGTTCTTTTATGCAAGAACGGGGCCAAAAATGATTTAAAGAACTATCACCCAATAAGACTTCTTTCAGTCATCTACAAGGTTTTCACCAAGATAATAACAAAAAGAATACTGAGAACATTAAATGATGCACAGCCAAAGGAGCAGGCAGTGTTCAGAAGTGGCTGCTTTCCTTAAATAACACCCCCACCCCACCCCCGCTGGGTTAGCTGGCCCTTTTTGCTTGAGATGTAGAGCTGCTACCTATCCTGTAGCTTTCACACCAATTCATGGAGTTGGCCTTCAGAAAGGTGCCCACTTCCATTTAGGGCATCTGAGATTGGTTCTGCCATTATGGTGTAATTATTATGTAGTAAAATGGGTTGAGGTCTCTTTCAGATATCTATCCTGCTAAGAAGCTAGCCAAATATCAGTAAAAAAAGGAGGACCAGAAGCTTCTGGTCAAGGAGCTCCCCATATGGAAGCTGGTAAGAAAACAACTAGTTTAACTTAGCCTTTTCCAGGGTAGCCTCCTTTCCTCTGACTGAGATTTGGCTTTGTATACTTTCTTAATCTTTCCTGTGTTAATTTTTGGACCTCTGAAGCAGCAGAAATGCGTGCAGGGAGAAGCACAGGAATTTCAGGGAACACAATTATTTTCCTCCAAGACAAAACCATCCGTTTCCCATGTTACATATGGTCTGCCAGAAATATGTTTCTTCCATATAAGGTATCATCCAGACTCTTCCAAGAAGCATTAGGTTTCTCCCAGTAAAGGAGGATGGGACTTCTAATTGGAAACGCTGCAGGAAATAAGAAACGAGTTTTTCCACAAGAACCAGTCCCACCTTCATCCCAAGCTCACCATGTCAATGACCATCTTGCGCAAGGTCTGCCGCTGTCGCTTGCTCAGGTTCTGGAAGATGTCACAGTTCTCTTCCTGCAGCAGCTTGAAACCCACAGCTAGGTGATGGTTCTCCAGAACAGACTCATCATTATACATCAATGCTAGCTCTGAATCTGCAAGGGAGGGACACAGACAACGAGAGGGTTATGGAGAATAGGAGGGTTTTATTTGCTCACGGAAGTATGGCCAATGATGTTTCAAGCAGCAGATGGAACACATCCAATAATCTGTCCGTCTAATCAAAAAGGTATCTGAGAGCCTGTTTAATATCACTAAAATCATTAAGGCATGAGGCTAAAAACCAGGAGACCATGAGTTCTCCTCCCACCTTAAGCACAAAGTCGGCTGGATAATCTTGAGCCAGTCATTTTCAGCTGTAGGTGGGAGGCAATGACAAACTATTTCTAAAATACATTACCAAGAAAACTGCAGGGAAGTCTTTGAAAATGGATATAATTGAATGGAAGGAAGAATAAATAAAAAGCAAGCAAAAAGAAGAACATTCCATGAAAAATCACTACCTCTTTGGAATCCAGAGGCCTGACAAAATGGAACATCCTTTACAGAACCATTTCCCCCCATTCTAGTGCATTCCACATTTGCTATAACTTTAACTCATAGAATTCTTACGTTCAGTAGCTGATCTTTCTCTCCCCTCTCTCTTACATACATATATTTATACACTTCTCTCAAGGCCCTTTCATGTTTTCTGTCTATCCTTTGCACTCTGTTATGGCTTGATGAAACACATCTGAATAACTCAAAGATCAGACAAATCCTAATTAAGCACTACCTCTACCAAAGATATCAGAACAAAACAATTTTGTCCAGTTATTCTAGCTGGGAAACTGTTGGATGGGAAAACAGCAGCGTCTTTGATTTCTGACGTTCTTCATAAAGCTTAAGCAATTTCTGTTTTTCTGTCATTTTAGGGTAGTTTCTTGTTTCAGTTCAACAGACTAGGAAAATCATAGACTTTTCTTTTCCTTCCCAACCTCACTGCTGGCACTGTGTGCTCTTCCTCACTCCCAAATATTAGTACTTCTTTCATCTGTAACACAATGAAAAAGTCCTTCTGCAGTGAGGTATACAGATGACTTAGGTATTTATATTCTGATTTGACAAAAGAGGTTTTACCAGTTTTACCATTTGATGTTTTATTCTATTTATACACAGTTCTGTGCTTTAGAGTACCCAAAAGGGAGCTTCATCACTGGAAGCTTTAAGAAGAGACTGGACTGCCATTTCTGTCAGAAATGGTGTAGGGTTTCCTGCTTGGGTGGTGGAACTAGATGATCTACAAAGTCCCTTCCAACTCTGTTAATTTGTTATCTGTTAAAGTTCTAAACTGAGTTTATTTGACATTAAACTGTCTACAACACTCGTTCATTGGCACTTTGGGAAAGTACTGAGCAAAAGCAAGCTTGAGCTTGGGTAGTAGGACAAGAAGACCTGGTGATAAAGAAAGATGGATTCTATTATATTCTCAAATGGTTTCCTTCCATCTGATACTTCTCATTAACACAGACCTCCAACTACATAGAACTTAAGCATTTAAGCTAGAAAAGTAGTATGAGAATTAATACATGGACTAATTCCTCTTAAGAGTTAACTTGTCTGTTTTCTTGACTGACTTTTCCAGGCATGGAACCCACTTGACATTTTTTGTGTCTGATGTTTCTTTGAGTCTGAAGCTAAAAGAGGGAAATTCCACAGGACAATTATCTACAAGCTAGAAGTGCAAAGACATTAGATTTTTTTAGCTGGATAAGGGCCAACAGAATCTCAATCCAGGTTGAGATCAAGGTACAGAAGAGAAACCAAAAGAAATAGAAATTTAAAACTGGACTCAATGTAGAATTTGGATGCCTCGTTTTTCAGTGATGATCAGAAGTGCACTGCAAAAGCTAATATGTGATTTTCACCAATTATTGGAAATATCATATTTGGTTACAGTACCAGATGCCTTAGTTATATCCTGTTTATAACTGTGCTAATATACTGTAGGGTATTTGTGATAAATAGTTAAGATATCTAGTCCAGAATACTGTTCAGCATATTATGGCTAGACAACTAGCCTCTGAGTTCATTTTATGATGATTGCATTACTTGGAACCTGACACAAGGCCTGTTACAATATGCATGCAACTCTCTTGTTGCCTTACAAGTCTACTGGCCACTGGTTTATGTTTCTGAGCACAATGGAGAGTCCCTGCTGACAATGTACATAGCTGTAAGGCTTGAGACCAGGCTTTTTGAAAGACCACGCTGCTTCACACTGAATCTTTTCAGGATCCCTGGGAGAGGCTATTCTCTCAGGTCAACAGTTTAACATGAACACAAGACAGCATTAAGATCAGTCAGTTAATTGATAGAAAGAGCCCAAAAGATCTTCACCAAAATAGGGCAGAATTTTCTCTGTAATTGCTCCTTTGTGTACATGTTGTCTTACAAGGTATGTCCAGCCTATCCAGAGAGTATTAACTTGAAGAAGACAATATTCAATTATGTGGAGGAAAGGAAGACATGTTGCAATTCCCTTTCTATTGCCTTGTATGCAAGGCACATATATCCTGGCCATGTGCCTACATGCACCCACCTCTCCTGGCCACTCCCCCCCCCCCCGCACTTATGTTCAGTGTGGCCTTCACTCACTGGTGTTGATCAGAAATTGGTTGGAGACACCAGGATGGTCCACATCATGAATGGCAGCAGCGAAGATTGCAGCCAAAATCTCCAGGTCAGTGAAGACAGCCTGTAAAGGAGAAAGGGAGTGAACGCCTGGTGCCTCTGCCCTATTTCATGGAAGAACTGCTGCCAGCAAATAAAAAGGAATTAACTGGGCTTAGAATTTGGATCCCCAAAGTATGTGTGTTGCTGCCCTGGATGATGATCTACTACCGCTCAAAGCAATAGCAAGCATTTATAAAAGTACAGCAAGATTCAGAGTTTGACAGGCATAATAAAATTTTATAATGGAAGCATAATACCCAGAATTAGTGATATTATAACACATAAACTGCTTTGAGAGGGCTGTAAAGCACTGTGAAGCAGTATATAAGTCTGAGTGCTATTGATACAAGTCATAACAATCAGTCAATTGTAAGTTAATCTGCCTCCCACTCTTTTCCAAATGAAACAGGGAAAAGTACAGAAACTCCCCATCTTTGGGGACTCTGGGAACCAGCCCCTCAGAGAGGATGAAGCAAAGGCGGTGCTGGATCCCCACATTTCCTACTCATATACTGCCACCGATCATGACTTACATCCAAGGCGGGTGTAGAGAGGAGGACATGCGTGGATTGAGTGACATCAGCAGCATGGAGACTGTTGTGGTAGGCCACATCAGCATGGTAGTGGTCTTCTAGTGTCATGATATAAGTGACTAATGTGTCCACAGGGATCTTAAAAGTTTTCACCAAGTCTCTCTCCTATGGGGAAAGGGGAAAAAAGGAAATCAGGGGTTGAAATAGTAAAGAGACAGTTCACAGCTTCTTCTGTGGACACCGGCTCCTGAAAAATCTTTGCCCTCCCCAATTATGGCTGGCAAACAAATGGCAAAGGAGAAATGTACGATATGCTCAAGCTCCTAATTATACCTGGAAGCAATGAACAAGAACTACCTCTACCACCACCATGAATGTAGATCCATCCTTTCCATGCTTTGAAACCACATGGGATTCAGCAGACTCGCTTCCCGGGCATCATTATTATTTTGTGAGTATTCAGATCCCCCCGCTCCCCCCCCCATTATATAAGGTGCTGTACATGAATAAAAGCAAAAATAGTCCTGCTGTCTCTCCTAACTCTAATCCTAACCTCCAGCCACCTATTGCTTTGGGAGATTAGTGCAAAGTTAGCACTTTTGCAGATTCATGAAAAAAAAAAAAATATTTAGATAAAACTCCCCAAACATGTGGCCACCGATTTTTCAGTACTTTGGCTATGCTGGCTGGAATGATGATAGTTTTGGTATCATCTGGTTGAACGATTAATCATAAATGGATTGTTTTTGAAGGCACTTTCTCTCTACAGAGAGGACAAGCAGTACCGGTTACACTTCTGACTACATTCTTCCTATAGACTGTAGGGAAAGAACCTGGAAGCCCCACATCTCAGAATACAAGGCGATAGATTTCAGAAGCTACAGTTGACCCGCATGTCAAGACAGAAAATTCCTTCTTTCTTCTATTAAAATTGCCCACATAATAAATCAGTCTTATTTCTATTGTTGTACCTGTTGCTTTTTTACTTATTTCTGTATCCAGCTCAATATTTCGTTGAAATAATTTAGAGAGTGAATTTAAAAAAGGTCTTTAAAAAACATCAGGCTTCAAACTGATAAGACTGTATAGCATTCTCATGTCTATTCTGAATAGTACCACTGGACCAAACCAGACATGTGACTGAGATGTGTGGCCCATATCCATGGCTAGTAGCGGAGAGAGTAGCGGCCTCTGCAAACCTCACCTGGAATATTGTATACATGATGCAGCTGAGCGACCGATTGTTGGAATAGTCAGCAACCCGGAAAATGTTAAGGCCCCACTTGTTTAGATATTCCAGTTCCTAGAGGGAGCCACAGGGGAAGAAGTCAGTGAATTTTTGGCACAATGGATATCAAGATAAAGATTCAGGAGGGCAGAGGGAATGGCAGATGAAGAAATCAAAACTACTATATATTTTTTTTGCTATGCCACTAGAATCTGAAATGTCATTTCGGATTTGGAACCCAAAGGCCATTCTTCAAGCATAGGACCAAGAAAACCCAATGGGAAAGTCCGTAGCATTTAAGAATGTCATCTACTGTGAATACTCTGAGACCATTAAGTTCAGCCTAAATGTCTGGACATAAAACTAGGCAATGTTATTTATTTTCATTCATCTCGAATGCTGAGATAAAACAATAATAAATAATCCAGTTCCACCACAATTTTCTAAAATATTCCCTTGGCTCAAAAGCAAAACAAGAATCTTTTTTGAAGCAAACAAAAAAACTCCACCTAGATTACATAATACTGTCAGCTATCACAATTTCCCGATAACCTTTGATTATGTAGTAGTGCATTACCACTTAACAGCAAATACTTTCTAAAGAAATATTTATTCTTTATAATTGTAGCACACGTCTGTTCTGCGCCAGATGGACATTATTCAAAGAATTAACAATTCTGTCTTGCTTATTCCTGGATTACATTTGAGCAATCAGTTCTCAGCTTAATAAAATGAGATATGAGTGAACAATTGTTTCATCTCCTTTTTTGTGAAAGATGGAAAGCTAAATCTGCAGTTTAAAACATTTCAGATATATTCCAGAATACAAATAATGCATACATTCAAAAATATAGATTTTTTCTGAACAAGTCAAACCATTAAGCTAAAAATAAATTATAGCTTCATATTTTGGTTTGCTTAGAGAGTATCAATCAGTTTCTTGATTTGAAGAACATGAGAAACCAAAACAAACATTTCCTGGTTTAATTACTCATTTGTACAGAAAAAGGAACAAAGTAGTTTCATTCAAATTAAAATGCTTTTTCACATTTTTTTTCTCAATAATACAAGATTTGGTTATTTGGGTGTGGTCACTGGATATCAATATGATGTAGCCTACAAGAAATAAGGTATAATTTTGTAGTACAACAGAGTAAAATAAGAAAATGAAGACTAATACATCATGGAAATACAGAGAAAAGAACAAGATTAATTCAAAATTGTTGATTCAATTCATAAAATGCAATTTATTTGAATAAAACTGATTGCTATGTGGCAGTCTATCTTTATTTTTGTATTTAATATTGCAAAAATAATTGGTGTGAATCTAAATAGGTATTATCTAATTATATAACTAATTAGATATCAACAATATCTATAGGAATATGAAAATATAATTAGAGCATAGAATAATAGGGATGGAAGGACCTTGGAGGTCTTCCAGTCCAACTCGCTGCCCACGGCAGGAGATTCTACACCATTCCAAATTAGTTTACCTAAGACTAGAAGCTAGCAGCCTAATAACCCTATTGACTTGCCACTTGACAGTATTGATCAGTTTTTTAAAGAGGACATTTAGTAGAAATCGGTGAAATAATTTATAAAGACTCCAAATTTCTGGAAAGAAGTGCTTCTCTTGTTCATGCATAATATTTCTGGATTGCAAGTTTCAAGCCTATACTCTTTTGCTCACCCTGCACTTGGTTTAGAATTCTGATAATATTCGCAGTTTTGGATGTCACTAGCAGTTACAGCGAACTGACTGGGACTGAAAGAACAAAGACAAGAATGGAAGGGATTGTTACTTGTTTAATGAATTATGATTTATTAAGCCAAGTTATTTCTTTCTTTCTTTTTGAAAATTTTTTGGGGTTTTCACAAAAACAAAATACAAATAAAACATCTTTTTTGAAAATAGCATAGTCCCAGGTTATCACTTCTTCATACAGACACAAAACTCAGTTTCATGCTCATTTTTATATTCTATTCCATATCTTATTACCATTTTATATTTTCTACATAGTTTTTCCCCTCTTTTAATTTTCTCAACTTTGTTTTAATTATCTCATCTCATCTCAATTCAAATCAAATCATTATATTTATACTTTTGTCTGTCCTGTTTCAATTTCACATTATCTTTTCTTATTAAGCAAATTTTTCCCTGTAGTTACCAATTAGAGTATGACACCTTTATATCCTTTAATTTTATCCATTCAAACTCTTATTTAAGCTTCAATGTATACCTTTAAGATTATAGCATTCAATATAATACATAACTTCAAATCGAGTTCTGCTTGGTACATTCTTACAATAGAGACTATATTCTTCAAAAGAAAATATATATATATATGTAAATAAAACACACATTCCATTCCAATTCAATTCTATCATTAATATGCATTAAAATCTTAACATCTTTAACGTTTCTATTCAATTAAATATCATACTTCCTTGGGAACACTTATAAACTTTCCATAGTTAATTCTTTTTTTTCCATATTTCTCACTTAATTTTTATAAATCATTACTAATAATTAAAAATGTTCCCTTTTAATTCTCTCAATCATTTTAATTCATTTATTTATTAACAAACATCCCACTACATTACAGTAAACATTTTATCCATCATCATATTTTCTAAAATTATTTCTATTTGTAATATAACAATGCTATCTTTTGTACCTTTGCAGAATCCCTTTTGCAATTAAATTTTCACCCATTATCTCTAAACAAGCTTGTGGTTACAATCCTTATATCTTTTCTCTGTTTCTCCATTTCTTGTTTCTGTTTTTTACAACTTCTTTTCCTTGCCTTCTTCCCCCGCTTCTTCTCCCTCCCCCTTTTACCCCCTCGTCTCTACTTCTCTCATCTGTAATCCCCTCTTCTGTTGCTTTCTAATATTATACTTATCTTTCAAATTGTTCTTCTTTTTGCTTGTTTTTTCTAGTCTTAAACGTTTCACTCTCTTTCCCCCCTTTTCTTTTTTTTCCCCCACTTAAAATTATTTGATCATTAAAGATGGCTTCTTCTTTGTCCCAATCTTCTTGTTCTGCAAGCGTTTCTTGTTGCTTCTCATAGTTCCAGATAGTTCCAGATCTCCATTTCTAAGAATTGAAACACGAAGCCAAAAGAACTTCTCCCTTCTTGTGCATCTTCTTTCCATTTTTAAAGTTCCATTTTCAGTTCTTCTAAGAGTGATACCATTTTAAAAACTTTTAAACAACCACCCGGTTAATTTTAGACATCTAGATGCAAAAACCAAAAATCACCAAATAATCCAAATAATCCAAGGCTTCTTTCTACTTGCTTCTATTTTCCACTTTCTCTTCCTGGGGTTCTATTATTTTGTTATCAAGTTTCCATTAAAATGTATCTTTGAGGAATCTTGTTAAAATTGCACTATAAGTGCCTTTTAATTACAGTTCCATTCCTTAATTCCAGGCAGTTTCCTCCATTTTTCCAGATCCTGCCCTTTTATTCTTTTTTTTTCTCCTTTCCTGCTTTTAAAAACTTTTAAATGTCCAGAAATCTTTATTATCCCTTTGACTTTTATTTTCAGCTTAGATGCCTATTAATGTCAAAGTGGATTTTTTTTCAATTTCTTCCTTAAGTCTCTTAGCTGTCAGTATAAGGAAGAGAAGAAAAAAACGTAATCTGTTCCCTTCTCTCTCTCCTTCGCAGCTTCAAAATCTTCTTTGGGAACAATGTTGTTAAGTTTAAATTCCAGGGTACCTTATTTGTTGCTTTTGCTGTTTGACCAGGTCAGCCAAAACTTTCTCTTCTTATCTTCCTCCTGCACATTCTTTTCTGGTTGAGATCTTCTTTGTGGTGGCCATTTCTGACCACCGCTACAACTGCCTTCGGGAAAGGGAGTAATGGCCAGCTGGGGAGGAGAGATGCGGCTCTCCTCAACCCTGCAGGCAGTCTCCCCACTCTTCACCACCTCTACGGAGTGGCTTAGCCCCGAAACCAGCCGAAGCCTCGGAGAGACAAGGTTTCGGTGTGTCGCCGAAGAAGCTCAAACCGGAAGAAGCCAAGTTATTTCTGAACTGGTCTTTTACAATCATTTCAGGATAACAAGTGAGTATTATGCTGATGGATCCCAATCAAGCCCTGGGATTTATCAGGCACCACCTTACTAAAGTCAACTGTATCTGTCTGGCCCAAATATCTCAAGGAAGTCACCTGATAGTCCCTTGTCTGTGAGATTCATGGAAATTGGATGAAATGGCTGGCATTCTCTTGAAAGCTCCTCTGCTATGGGATATGCTTCCCAAAGGGGCTCTTTGATTGGAACTGCCCAGAGTAGGCTAGAAGATATGCAGCTATATAAATGTCCCAAAGGTGCTTTTTCAAGAGACAAATGGACTTTCTTGTTTTTATTTGAAGACATTTCACTTCTTATCCAAAAAGCTTCTTTGGCTCTGACTGGATGGTGGGGAATGGAAGGATTTCTTGCAGACAGCTGGTCATTTGCTTTCTTTTAGAGAGTATTTGAGGCTACTTGGAGGTTTATCTGTGTCCTCAGGGTTACCTGAGTCAGGCAAATGGGTGTTGAGCTTTCTTGGAATTTCTAAAAGGACTGTGTTGTAGACTTGAGATAGTTGATGAGTATTCCCCATCCCCATCTCTGTTGAGACAGGGCTGTCAGCTCTCACAAGAGAGAGAGGGTTATATCATCATCTATCTCCAGTTCATGGCTCAGTTCATGGAGCTCTCTTTCATGGCTAAGATAAGACTGAAACAAGGAATATAACCTCATACTGCTAGAACCAAAGCTGTATGCCAACAGTAGCTCCAGGTATGTTGTTGTGGAGCTGTGCTTTCTGCAGGATATTTTCTGCCCTGTGTCCCTTCACTCTTGAACGCAGGTGCAGGCTGTTAGGGTTGAGTCTGTGTTATCTGCATCTGAAACTGAAGTGCAACTGGTTCCTGTAGTAAAATGCAAATGACCAGCTGTCTGCAAGGAATATAAATCCCCACCATCCAGTCAAAACTAAAGATGCTTCTTGGAAGCTAAATCTCTTCAAAGAAAAACAAGAAAGTTCAGTTGCCTCTTGAAAAAATACCTTTGGGACAACCATGGCCTGGATGACTGAGAATCTCCATAGACATTCAACTATATAAATGTTTTAAATAAATAAATGGCACCTTCTTTAGCAAAAACTTAAACTGTTTACGTGTTATCAAACATCCACTTTATTGGCTACGAGCACTTAATTCTGTTTTTGTTTTTCTGCACGCAAGTGTTTGTATTATTTATTTTTCTGCAGTCATGGTTCTTTATTTTTGTTCCTTTGTTGTAAACTAGCTCAGGTAATTTGTTAGGACAGTCCACAAAATAAATAAATAAAAACAAATATCTTCTTGTGTTGGAGAAATATGCAAAAAGCTTCAGTCCAAATAGAATAGGAATAGACTAACTCAGTGATAGTTAAATCTTTTTGTCAAATGTGCTAAAATTATGAGGAAGTAACTCTGTAATACCAGTTAAATATCCTGTTTGAGGGGAAATGCTGCCTCAAAGACAAAAACAATCTGAGATGAAAATACTTTTGTATCCCATCAAAGGCAGAAGTTGCCTCTGGAAATCAACCTAAATAAAATGTATTAAGGATGACACTTTTCTCAGAGTCTAGAGACTGTTAAAAGTGTGAGCCACAATTTCCAAATCATCCTTTGCAAAAATGGGCACAGTCTTCCTTCACTCCCTTCCTTCCCTGCTTTTTTCCATCTTGCTAAATGCTCACCTTACTGAGCAGCTCTTCTTGGTCTGTTTTCACCCCAAAGCGGGGAATGCTGGAATTGGTCAGGCTGGAACTGTGCATGAGTTTCTTGACCCCACTGATCTGGCACATGGGTTGCTGCCGCTTCTTCTTCTCCCGGTCTTTCTGTGTTGGGGATGGGATCTCCACATCGTTCTGCTTGTCTGTGGATGAAAAGAGACTGCATCAGAGAGAGAAATGACAACAGCAAAAAAACTGGAAGAGCACTACCTCATCTGAGAAGTAGCATATGGACCAAGTATCAGGATTTGTGACACAGATATTTTATCTCCCATCCATCCATCGTCCAAATGACATTGCTTCCCTGATGGAATTTCATCACTGTCTCAACGATGCCAAGAATGAAAGCTCAAAATTTCTGGAGCAAAAGGAATTTTAACCTAATTCCTGGTAGCTTAAACTTCCCATAAGTAAATCAGGATACTGCAGGAATATTGGAAGTAGGGTTGGATACCATCCTAAAAACATTTTAATACTAATATGGAGTCCTGGGAGGTATAATTGTCCTACTTTGTCTTTTTAGATCCCTCCCACCCCCTTTGTTGCCCTCATACATTTCCCCCTCCCCCTTATTTTAAAAGTAGAATAGCCTGAGGATATGACTGTGCTTCAAGGCATATGCAGACTCCAGTTTTTTATAATTCAGGTATTTAGTTCTGCCTCATCATGAGCTCTGGCTGCTGTTCCAATTTTGCAGTACCCAAAAAAAGACAAGAAGACCATACCCATGTTTTTTGTGTGTCTTTTAACTACCTCCTGGACAATACCAATAAACTGGGCAGTTAAACAACTATTTTTATTTATCTTTAACTACTTTAATAAAATGGTTATTATTAGCAATAGCATAAAAGGAGAAGTGATATTTTTCAGTTCTTATGTTTTTTTTAACGTGTTCTCAACAATGCCACTTTTTCTTATATCAACATGCATTCCATCTTCTAGAAGACTTCTATTTATATACATGTAATTAAAGATGTAACCAAAATGTGCTCAGAATTGAAATGACACAGCACAACCCCCTATCTAATAAACAAACCAGTCAAACAATCCCTGACTGTAGTCTTTTACTTTTCCCAGACAAATGAATAGCTGCTATTACTCCTTCAGAGAAAGAAAAGGAGAAATATAATGCTGGACATTAGGCCAAAGTAGTGGTGAAAACAATCCTGCTCATTCTCCATCGCAACCCTGAAGATAGATGGCAAAATCATTTCTTTTTAAGTCTACTATCCATCCCGTGTAGATACTGAAGGTTTATGAAGATGGAAGGAAAACTGTTCAGTTTAGGTTTCTAGAATGGAAGCCTCAAAGTACAAAGTAGAGCAGTTTGGGGGAAGACTCACCCTCAGGAGTGGAAGGCCTTGTTCCCCCACCTTCTTCTAGGACTGTCTCCAAGGGCAAGAAGTCACGTGTGGGTGGCACCCACTGGGAGTATGGAGCAGGGGGAGGAGATAGCCTGCCAAGGGGGAGGTGGCGCACACTAGGGGAGCCTAGGGGAGGCAGAAAATGGGGAGGGCGCAGTGTGACAGGGAACTGGGAGGGAGTCGCATCATGACATGGCAGAGATATGCCCCAATGGTACCTGCGGGAGAAGCAGCGGCAGGGGGGCCTCATGGCAGAGTGGAAGGGGCGGGCAACAGGCCCCGGGAGGAAGCAGGGCATAAGCTGTGGTACCATTCTAGAGTGCTGGGTTCTGAGTTACTAGGAAGAAGGATTGTGACAACAGAGAATATTCAAGTCAACTGCCATGAAGCCGAACTCTTTCAAATTCTGCCCCCAACAGAGTCCCTAATATTCCCATCCTGCCCCAAGTTCACCTGAAAAGGCTTTGGATAACTGTGGAGCCAGAGTTCTACCATGTTTGGTAAATACAGGGGGACGTCCTTTGCATAGACTAAGATGGTGGTCAGACTCTGGAAGGTGACTTATAGGAAGAACTAGCTTTCCTATGGCAACAACACAGCTCAAGTACATCTGCAATCTCACCTGTTTCACAAATGATCAAGCAGATTCAAGGGTTTGCCTGGGAGCTTGAGAATCTGGAAGAATAGGCTGCCTCAGTAATGTGGAATTCTATCATCTCAGGACACCTCATGAGTCTGAGGCAAATGAGCATCTGTGCATGTGTACCTTTATGGCTGAGGCAAATTTGGAATAAAAAGTTGGGAATAAATTTAGGAGTTCTGACTCCTTTCCTTTCTTCACCTCAACCAACAAGCTCTCCTTCTAGCTCTCAGCCACAAACAACCAGTCACTCTGGCCATTTCCTACCAATCACTCGGTTCTGCTTTGGTATCACAGCCAGGAATGAAATCCAAGTACTCAGGCAGTTCCCAGGCTGGCCTACTAAACACAATTTCTTCTGCCAACAAAGGAACAGTTCCAAAGCCCCATTGCAAGGGACCAAGCAAGTTAAACTGGTATGGGTCCTCCCCATCTGCTCATTATCTGAAAACTCCTCTCTCCACAACAATTCTGTATTGGGAAGATCTCTCATGGGGCGAGGGGTATGCGTGTGCGTGTGCGTGTGTGAAGTCAACCAGCTAAGCTCAGTAATGGGATTTCACTATCTCTTTTTCACCTCTTTTGCACCGTTGTGGCCTGGCACTGCCTCATCACATGACATTAGCAGACCATGCCACAGCTGCTCAGGAGGAGGAGGGAGGGTGAATTCTGGCCCCTGCTCAACCGATACTTGGCCTCCGTTTTCAGCCCATGTTCCAGCTCTCACACAAGGCCTCCATTGAAATGGCAGTTTGCATCAACATTTGCTTAGGGCTGGGTATTTGTATCCGCTGACGTCAATGGGCGGCCTGCTTTCTGGAGAATGCAGTGGACAGGAAGAACCCAGGAGTTTGTTTCAGATGACTGAAGTTCTTAGCTATTCTGCCTGATTCAGGAAGTCTGCAGCTCTTAGGGGAGACATACATGACAAGGCCTCTGATTCTGCAAATACTAATGTAATCATATATGGTTTAGCACACAAATGAGGTACTTATTTCATTTTTAGGTAAACAAAATGTTTACACACATTTACAGAGACTGGAAGAGAACAACCTGTTTAGATTTGTGCATACTATGATCTGTGTATAAGAAGATAAAACTGCCTGACAAGCTAATTCTATTCCTTGTTAGGTTTACTTGCAGAATAAATCATGTAAAGATTTGCTCTCAAGTAAATATGTTCAAGAATGAAGCTACAGGCAGCATCCTTATGCTCATTTATATGACAGTAAGTCCCACTAATCTGAATGGAGCTTACTTCGGAGAAAACCTCTTCCAGATTTCTTGTTTGTCTCTGAATGGAAAAATCATGGCATGATTTAACTGTGAAATCCAGGAACCTGAATTCCTGGACATAATTATGTACCAAATAAGAGTTGGAAACTGAACATTTCAGAGGCCACAAAGAAACTACCATCACTTTCTGATTCTAACTTTTACATTATGCCTACACCCTTTCTCCAGAATTCACGGTCAGTTTCAGCCACACCCTCAATTTTCTACTAATGATAATATGATTGTCACAAGAGTGCTTGGGAGGGAGCACCGTATAAGAGTTAAGTGCCCAAACACCTGTGTATTTCTGCTATCTTATCAAACATTTACTTAGCAGTTTGTTAGGAGAGCAGGTTGAAAGGGGAGGGAGAAACCTGTGAGCACAATCCTTCTTCTTGCCTAATACCCCTTAGTTGGCATTCTATGACAGCAAATGAACCTGAGCTGAGCAGCAGAATTTGAATTTAATTCCTCCTGGAAAATGGAGGAAAATCTCTGTGTTCATCAGTATATGAAGAGGCTGTGGAAGAGCTCTGACTGTTTGGGCTTCATCACATAAATATGCTTGGTGCTATCTATCCCTTACCAACAATGCTTTAACAGTGGAAGAAAGACTCTACTGTAGTAACAATTTGCAGTTAGTCTCTGCTCGGTTTTTCCCTCAGTGGGCTTTCTTTTTTTTAAATGACTTCAGCCAATCAGATTTGGCTGTAAGATGACGTCAGTAAGGGCAAACAAAGCCAACTCTTGGCCCTCGGTTTAAGCTGGTGAAGGGAGGAGTGGGAATCTCCTGTTGCCAAGGCAACCGTGCTGCCTCAGCACTTGGGATGCTCCTCGTCTACAGCACTTCACATACTGCGGAAAGCGTCATAGAAGCACACCTGCCTGTAGATGTTCTCTGTTCTCATGATATTTCTTTCGATGGGACGTGCATTGGAACACGCAACCTCGGGCACATTTGCATAGGATGAGTCACGAGGAAACAAACTGCACTGGGGCTAGAGACCATCACTTATTCCTCCCACGGTGAATATTTTTGTCCTTGTCCAAACTGTTCCTCGCAACCTCTGAGATGGAGGACTTTTGGGATATGCACAAAGAAACAGTGTATGCAACCAAACTCCTATTTTGGCTTAACTCTAAGGAAATAATATAATAACAGCCCAGAATGAAAGGCAGATGGTTTTCAGAGAACCATTCATTGTTAGATGTAGAAGAACATATAAGATGTTTATACACTGCTCAAAAAAATAAAGGGAACACAAAAATAAGACACCCTAGATCTGAACGAATGAAATATTCTTATTAAATACTTTGTTCATTACATAGTTGAATGTGCTGACAACAAAATCACACAAAAATTATCAATGGAAATCAAATTTAGCAACCCATGGCGGTCTGGATTTGGAGTTACACTCAAAATTAAAGTGGAAAAAAACTGGCTGATCCAACTTTGATGTAATGTCCTTAAAACAAGTCAAAATGAGGCTCAGTAGTGTGTGCGGCCTCCACGTGCTTGTATGACCTCCCTACAATGCCTGGGCATACTCCTGATGAGGTGGCGGATGGTCTCCTGAGGGATCTCCTCCCACACCTGGACTAAAGCATCCCCCAACTCCTGGACAGTCTGTGGTGCAACGTGGCATTGGTCGATGGAGCGAGACATGATGTCCCAAATGTGCTCAATTGGATTCAGGTCTGGGGAACAGGTGGGCCAGTCCATAGCATCAATGCCTTCGTCTTGCAGGAACTGCTGACACACTCCAGCCACATGAAGTCTAGCATTGTCTTGCATTAGGAGGAACCCAGGGCCAACCGCACCAGCATATGGTCTCACAAGAGGGCTGAGGATCTCATCTTGGTACCTAATGGCAGTCAGGCTACCTCTGGCGAGCACATGGAGGGCTGTGCGGCCCCCTAAAGAAATGCCACCCCACACCATTACTGACCCACTGCCAAACTGGTCATGCTGGAGGATGTTGCAGGCAGCAGAACATTCTCCACGGCGTCTCCAGACCCTGTCACAACTGTCACATGTGCTCAGTGTGAACCTGCTTTCATCTGTGAAGAGCACAGGGCGCCAGTGGCAAATTTGCCAATCTTGGTGTTCTCTGGCAAATGCCAAACGTCCTGCACGGTGTTGGGCTGTAAGCACAACCCCCACCTGTGGACGTCAGGCCCTCATACCACCCTCATGGAGTCTGTTTCTGACCGTTTGAGCAGCCACAGGCACATTTGTGGCCCGCTGGAGGTCATTTTGCAGGGCTCTGGTAGTGCTCCTTCTGTCCCTCCTTGCACAAAGGCAGAGGTAGCGGTCCTGATGCTGGGTTGTTGCCCTCCTACGGCCTCCTCCACATCTCCTGATGTACTGGCCTGTCTCCTGGTAGCGCCTCTATGCTCTGGACACTACGCTGACAGACACAGCATTGATGTGCCATCTTGGATGAGCTGCACTACCTGAGCCACTTCTGTGGGTTGTATACTCTCTCTCATGCTACCACTGGAGTGAAAGCACCGCCAGCATTCAAAAGTGACCAAACCATCATCCAGAAAGCATAGGGACTGAGAAGTGGTCTGTGGTCACCACCTGCAGAACCACTCCTTTATTGGGGATGTCTTGCTAACTGCCTATGCTTTCTACCTGTTGTCTGTTCCATTTGCACAACAGCATGTGAAATTGATTGTCAGTGTTGCTATCTAAGTGGATAGTTTGATTTCACAGAAGTGTGATTGACTTGGAGTTACATTGTATTGTTTAAGTGTTCCCTTTATTTTTTTGAGCAATGTAGTAGTTAGGCTGCAAACACTCTGACATAAGATTTAGTAATTAAGTTTTTCTTATTATACTCAAGGTAAATTATCAATGTTAAAGAACTATAGGCATTGCCATCAGTGTTTATAACTATAGAGTATAATTACATTCCTGCTTTTGAAGGGTGGACTTCCTTTAATAAAAACTGGACTACAATTTTTAAACTGCAGTGGATTAAAAAAAAAATTGTGTTTATCCAACAAAAAGTTGAATCTTCATAAAACCATTACCAGAACTTTTACTCAAAATATAGGTTTATGTTACTATAAAACCAGGTATCGATGCGATTTCTTATTTAAAATATTTATTGATATGATTTTTTTTCTTGGGGTACAGTGTATGAAACTGTGAGAGTCAAACTATTATCACTTTGAGCAATGAAAAGAAAGGTTAATGCCGATTACATTCTTTATATCTTGTTCTGAGTTACTTGTGAGCCCTAAAAAAATGTTTTCTTTTTAGCAAACTGCCTGATTGTATTTGATTGAAAATAATGTAGAATAGATACTGATACTACTATTGCATACTATTTTTTTGAAAGAATGTACATGGATTATAGGTGCAGTAAGGTTGTGGCACTTCCATACACTCACCTAAAAAGGTGTTGGAAATGTACTCAGACACCTGGTTTCCAGAACGGCTCATTTCAGAGAGGTGGGATAATTCACGGTTCAGCATTCTTTTGAACTATTAGAGACAGACAAAAAGAGAATGAAATAATTAATATATATATTTTCTGTCCATGCCCTGGTAAGAATGGAAGTGCATGACTGTATACGTCTTCTTGAATAAGCAATCATGTACAAGAACAATCTCACGAATGAGGATAAATTGACACTTAGCTTCAATGCACATGGGCATGGAGACAGACTTAAGGGAAGAAGAATCGCTACAAGCTGGTATTGGTGAGTCAAAGTATATTAATAAAACATACATGCTATACTTTGAATCTGTGAGAGTTCAGTGCACGCTGGAACACTCTGTAACCTGGGAATTCTACTAACATGCAAGGGTTCCTAAACAGAACGCTACCTTAAAAAGTTTTTTTAATAGTATGAAGTTCTTAAATTATTTCTATTATAATTTTGGGATACTAAATTTATGCCTGCATGTCTTATACATTCAGAATCAGATTTTTCTGCATCGAGAATTGCCATGTATGCCTGTAGTTGCAAACTGCCTCAGATGTAAAATTATTTCTCTAGGCATATAATTCTTTATTTATCCAATCATGAGAATGCTCACATTTTTATGAATGTATCTATTCTCCATATCTGTGAATATAGATATGAGCTGTCTTCTGATGATTGATGCAATTCTCAACTTATCCAAAGATGAATTTTCCCAACTTCATGCCTAACAAATAAGCATTCTACAACTCCCATTGTGACTCAAGGCAGAGAACAATAATCTCAAATGATTCAGGACAGAGTAATATCAAAACAATAATAACACCAAAAACAATAACAAAATATAATAAAGTACACCTGAGGCAATGCAGTAATTGAGACAATCCATCCAGATGCCCTCCCAAAGCCTCCTAACTCAATATCTAGTGAAAAACCAGGTCTTCGAGATCTTACAAAAGACAGATATACATGGTTGGGGACATCCAAATTTTGGAGGAAATAGCACTCCATAGGGTATATGCAATGACAAAGAAGGCCCTCCTGTCAGATTTCCTTCAGATGGACAGAGATAATTGGCTATCAACAATCCCACAATATTTATTTTATTTCTATCCCACCTTTATTAGTTTTACAAATAACTCAAGGCGACAAACGTATCTAACACACTTTCCTCTTATTTTCCTCACAATAGCAACCCTGTGTGGTAAGTCGGGCTGAGAGAGAGTGATTGACCCAAGGTCACCCAGCCAGCTTTCATGCTAAAGGCAGGACCAAATAAGTAGGCCTTATGCTATGAAAGGCATTGAAGTTAATAACCAGAATCTTCAATTGCACCTGGAAACTCACTAGTATAGTATAGTGTAATACAGTACAATATACAGTATTATGTATCATATAGTATAGTATCGCACCACACAGTTCACAGAGAAGTGCTACATGGCTGTACTAAGGTCTATTCATCACTAAACTTACTGCTGCATTCCTGACCAGCTGTAGATTCCAAGTGGTTTTCACGGGGAACCCCGTGTAGAGCACTTTGTATCATCCAGATATGAGATAATCCAGATTTGAATGACTGGGAGTAGGGATTCCTGACCAAGGAATGGATACAACTGCCACTCAGTAGACCACAGACCCATGGTTGCATCTGCTTTTCAAGGAGGAGTCATGAATGTAGGATGCCTGGTGTGTAGATATGACTGGTGTAATAGAACTAAAGGTGGAAAATCTCTGGTGTATTTTGAGGTCTCCTAGTAATTTATGACTTTGGTTAATATCCTAATCAGGATTTTGGATATGTTGCTATACAATAGATTTTCATAACCCATCATCTTTATATACAACACATATGGCTAAACTGACTTGGTAATGCAATTGGTTAATCTCAAATATTTGAAGGCAACGTATCAGGAGAACTGTGTATTATTATAAACAACTAGGAAAAACATGTAATGTCCCTAAAATACACTATTTATTTTCCAATTTGATCTTAAATACATATCCCCAAACATGTCTTTATTATTTTTTAAATCTTGAGATTTATCCAAGTGAAATGATACCATAGATACTTAAAAGAAGTTGAACATATTTATATCTCAGTGTTAAACAGGTTTCCACAAGTGTCAATTTCACTACAAACTCATTCCCATTAAACCCAATCTTATTATGAATGTAACTACATTATTTACCTAAGAGCACTTCACCCCTACTATATGCAGCACATACAATCTTGAGGCTCAAACATCATCTTGGTTGCCAGGATGCAGGGGACCAATAAAAAGCAGCAACGAGAACAGAAAACACAAAATATTTCCTACCCTCTTGTGGTCCTCTTGATTTTTGCAACCTATCCCTAAATTAGACAAAGAGGAGCTGAATTTGCAGTAGCTCTTGACAAATTAAAGGACAAAAACATTTCTGTCTATATGCAAGCACCATCAATGTCTGATCAAGAGGGTATGGTAAGAAACCAGCCAGACCAGCAGAGGTAACCTTTCACATGTATCGATCAGAATGTTCCAAAAGGTATTCAGCCAGGAGTGGGATTCAAATTCCTTAACAACCAGTTCTGTGGGTGTGGCCTAATTTGTGGGTGTGGCCTGATGGTCATGGGCTTGGCTTGCTGACTGGGCATGGCTTGGTGGTCACATGACTGGCTGGGTATGGCTTGTATTTAAATATTGTAAATATTTATGTAAATATTGATTTTTTTTATAAAAAAGAGCAACTTTTATCCAAAATCAGGCAAAACAGGCAGGCAGATTGAGTTGCTCATAGAATCTCAGATTCATTCACAGATCTACCTTTCTGCAATCTGCTGCCTGAGTCTGCACTGAAAAATAGAAGCTTCAGTCCTAAGGAAGATTCAACTCTGCTCTCAGGCCACTTCTCCCCCCATCATCCCCTGAATACCATCCCTGACTGGGCCTCAGGGAAGCCTCCTGGGTGAAGGCAAAGCAGTACAACAGCGATTTAGATTAACTAGAAAGCAAGAAATCCAACAATTTCCTGCTTTCTAGCTAATTTAAATCCCTGCACAGCTGATAGTCAGAACAGCTGATTGTCAGGGGAAAAAGGAAAAATAGCAACTTACCAAAAAATCAGGCAAAGCCACAACGCAGGCAAGTTGGATGGCATGCATGCCAGGTACGGAATGACTGGGTGGGGAGGGATGGGGCCAGCCAGTGGAGCAATTTTCCAGTTCTCTGAACTGCGCAGAATCATAACAACTGGTTCTATAGAACCAGCCCGTACCGGTAGAATCCCACCCCTGTATTCAGTTCCTCTTCTGAATTCCCCAATCAATGCTTTTAAGACTCAGTGATTTATAAATGCAATTATTGAATTGAGAAATAACTTTCAATGAATAAGACAGGATTTGCTTTCCTTTCTTTGCATATTATGAAGTAACTATTGTAACTGCAAGCTACCTGTTTTTCATTCTGTGTGAAATAATATCTGACTTCTTCCTACAGAGAGAGGTGAAGGCAAACAGCTCAAAAGGCTGTTTCATCCTCATTACTCCAATAACTCACTAGGACAAGGCTTATTGTGAATTAATATTATTGAGATAAACATTTGATAAAAGTTAAGAGTGGGAGAAGCTAGTAGCAAAAAGTTGGATTTCTTAAAATGTCTTTTTCAACTTTTTATTAATCTTCAACATATTCTACCTGTGGAATTTCTGCTCATTCGTTAATATTAAGTAATTTTTGCTCCAACCTGACCAAAAGCTGTAAGTGGCTTACAAGCTTCTGCTGCTCTCAAAACTAGCCTTTGTTCATAACTCTATTATGCATAGCTTCCAGCTAGTTCTTTCCTTCCACACTTTCTCACTGTGTCATTTCTCTGATTCTTTCACATGAAACAGAATTTAGAAAAACTTGGGCTGGATCTAGCTTAGAATAGAATAGAATAGAATAGAATAGAATAGAATAGAATACTTTATTGGCCAAGTGTGATTGGACACACAAAGAATTTGTCTTGGTGTAAATACTCTCAGTATACCTAAAGAAAAGGTACATTCGTTAAGAATCAAGAATCATAACGTGTACAACACTTTGATTGTCATAGGGTACAATCAACAATCAAATCATACTAGGAAACAGTCAAGTGGGAGGGGATGGGTGATAAGGAGTGGTGAGAAGATGAACAGTAATAGTAGTGTACACTTTGTAAATAGTTGAACAGTACTCCTCCTCCTCTTCCTCCTCCTCCTCCTCCTCCTTACTGATACAACATTTTGCTTCTCTCTGTGGTTTTTGCAAGAAATTGCCATCATTCTCCATCTTTTGAGGGTACTTTCTGTCTGAATCCTTGAGTTTGCCAAGCCCATATCCTCTCCTGTGTTTTCTCTTTTTCCTGCCAAAAGGTAGGCAAAATGAGGGCAAAAAATGTTGGCTCAACTAAATTCTAACATTCTGGCAGTGTCTGGATGCAGTTCAACTAAATCATGGGTTTCTTGGCCCAATTTTCTGGGTTCACATGATATAATTACAGATTACAGATTAACAGATTTGGGAGGGACCTTGCAGGTCATTTAGTCCAGCCCCCCTCCTGAAGCAGGGGACCCTACACCATTTCTAACAAATGGCAGTCCAGTCTCTTCTTGAAAGTCTCAAGTGATGAAGTTCCCACAACTTCTGAGGGCAAGCTGTTCCACTGGTTGCTGTTCTCATTGTCAGAAAATTTCTCCTTATTTCCAGATTAAATCTCTCCTTGTTCAGTTTCCCTCCATTATTCCTTGGCTGGCCTACAGGTGCATTGGAAAACATAGTAATACAATAAGCAGACCACAAAGATGCACTATGGATACTCTGTAATGATATTTCTTATGAAGAACCATGACCCAAAAGTGCTGAATTATTCCATCTCATCCCATTCTCTCCTGGAAAAAACTGTGATTTGTTTTTTAGTACTCTTCTCCACAGCTTTTCTTATAGAAATCTAGCTGCAAACTTAAAACAGAAGACCATTCCCAGGTCAGAGCTAACCTGGAGTCTAAACAGCTGAGGATTTTTGATGTGAGAACCTCCTAAAGAAGTCAGAGAAGAAGGA